ATATCTATATATATATATATATATATATATATATATATATATATATATATATATATATATATATATATATATAGCTGTCCGCTGCGGTCATTACGAAGAAGAGTGCTCAAAATTTGATGCGTCACATAAAAGTCCCGTTAAACGCAACGCCACTCGAGATATATGGCTCATCATTCACTGACTTATACCACTATTCCGCGCAACCATTAACGCATGTCGCGCACATCAGCGCTGCACTAAAGGGGACACCCAAAGTGTCGAAATTGGTAAAGTCGTATGTCAAGAAGTTAGCGCAATAACAGCCAACGCCGAGAACTGAGAAAGAATTATGTGTGTACTTTTATTTTCTACACATCTCACACGCAAACACACACACATACACACATACATCCATACATATACATATACAAATATTCCCGGGCCGCAATGATACTTCGCAATACGCGCCGAGGAGTCATCGTAAATGGATTTACCGAGTCGGATTCACGGCTGTAAAATATTAAGCCACGTCTGTAGGCGATGACAGATGCGGGCACATGTGATCGGGAAGTCAAAAGTGTCGCGGCTGCTGCCGCAGTTTTTATTAGCGAGTGTCGCGATGACCCGGAGTATTGCGCCTCCCTCGTTATCGGGCTGCCCTCGTTATCTTTCTACTTTCCACCGTTTGTCATTTCCACGGCGATCATATTAGAAGACGGAGGATCGGGAGTGGCGGGGCTGACAGTCGGCAAATGGCAGCCCCGGCTGTCATACATCAGACTTGGATTAACCAGCGACCCTGGCCGTGCTATCCCCGTTTCTCTCTCTCTTTTTCTCTGTCTCTCTCTCTCTCTCTCTCTCTCTCTCTCTCTCTCTCTCTTTCTCTGACTGTCTCATCTCACCCTCGCTTCTCGTCTCTTCTTCTCTACTTCTCCCCACGAAGTAGTGGTTCGCTGCTGGACGTGTCGCGTGCACCTCCGCCGTCAGGATGATATCTCCGCGGCCGGAACTTTCGGTTTCCATCTCTCTGAGCCATATGGGCCGCCGCACAAATCATTGTAATCCGTAAAATAATGTAATCATGTCTGGCCGGGCTAGTCCCGGCATCATCTCGGTAAGAGCATGCTGTATCCGAGCGAAACTGTCGTATCGGTTCCCGCGGGTTCGCGCTTGCCCGTCTTGATAACGACTTTCCCCTCGAATCGTCGCCATCGATGCTCGTTTCTAAGTAGTGCACAAGTACAAGTAAGGATAAGACTTCGTTAATGGAAACTTTATATAAAGATTATATATGAAGCTAATAAATATATACATACATATATATACAATATATATACATATATATGAAATAAAATGTTGCATAAGGAATGTGGTACATGATATTTTTGCATTTTCTTGCGGTATCGACGGGACCAATTCGGAGCGATCGATTAAGTGACAATCTTGCGTGCCATGATGTTTGACCTATGCTCTACGATACCCTCGAAATTTGTCGTACACGAGAGAGAGAGAGAGAAAACGCACGACACCCGATACCGATGGCGTGTCACCTCCGCTGTAGATCGTGTTTCGTGTCAAAGGCGAGCAAAGATGAAGTATAACAAAATCCGTCACCGTATCCTTCCTCAGCAGGGACTCGCGCGAGGGACAGGCGGTCGGACGGATAAGTTGTCGGCCACCGTTGCGTCCTGGCTGATGCAATTCATTTCCCGTGCGGAAAAATTCGCGCGCGGAAACGTACACGCGCTGTCGTCGTGTCAACAATTGCAGCGAACTGACGGAGCTTCACGACGCCTCTCATAGGGATTGCACGGCGCAAACGGAGCTCGTGCAATGTCGCGTTTACGAAATACTTCCATTTCTCGCGAAAAGCGAACGTCTTCCGGCGGGTGGGTTCCCCTTGAATTTGCACAGCGTGACGTCCTCGCGAAATAACACGTCTCGCGCGCGCGCGTTTAACGATTTGTTTTTCGAGGATCGGTCGGAGACACTCGAGAAGAACTGACGGAAAGTAGCACACTTAGGCACACTCGTTAACTCGCGGCCACGGCGAGACGACACCGCGTAAGCGTAAGCGGATGAATGGTATGGGAAAAAAAAGGGGGAAAAGAATCCTCTCGAACTTTTAATTGGAACAGCATGCCGAAAGAGCCGTCACTTCGTGTCAACACGTGAATAAAAGAAAGTCTCAGGAACTCATTTTACGGTGCGGCTGAAGCTTCGACGGCGTATTAGGGCAGGAAACGGATGAAATTTTTAACCGACACCGGAGACAGTTTCTTTGAACGCGACACGAAGGACACTCGCGGTTCGGATGGGACTTTGCGCCCAAAGTTACCACCAGTTGTTTCTTTTATCTCGTGCCTTCGTGATGTTATTTATAGTCTATCTTCCAGCGAAAGTTGGACTCTGCCCAAAAATTGCAACAGAGTGTACTGCCCTCGATATCTTGATTTGTATGTTACTCTGACGGCATATTTGCTCACATATCACGAAAAACAACGGAACAATTTGGAGAAAATTAGGAATTCAAAATATGAATAAAAAATTACTTTCAAGTATAAGCCCATCACATGCACACACACAGAACATGATGACGTGAAGTGACGTTTTAACTCTTTAAGGCCCAAGTACAAAATCCCGCTCGAGTAAAAATATTTTTTATTACAATAGTCTCAAGAAACGCTCCTGATGAAGATTTGTGTGATACGAATAAAATTGGCCGTAGAGAAATGCGATTTTATGAATGCAAATGATCATGTATATTCATGTTTCCACGTGCGCCCCAGCTACAGAATGTAATAAATCTTATAATTATGATAATGAACATAAAGGAGTGTCATATACTTTCAGATGATATCGATAAAAAATTCGAGAAAATAAAATTCGTTTGCTTCTTTTCTCGTGAAAGACTATACAATTTCGCACGTCAACGATTCTGCTCTGCACACGATCGCTATATTGATTTTTCCAGCAGGGAAATTACACAGATTGTTTCACGGATTGGGGCGAAGAATATAGGTCTATCCAGGATGGATTAATAGTATTGTATTGACGGGATCGTTATTTTTTCAATATAAAATACTTGGGGAGAACCCACACAGTAAATGCACGTATGTAATTATGTGCACTGGGCCTTAAATGTTAATGACACATTGATGGCGTCTCTAACATCGTTAATATGTCATTTGACGTTATCCTGCTACTTGGAAATATTTTAAACCGTTATGGAAATATATGATGTCGCTATCCTTAAAAAAGGAAAATATAATTAATAACAAAAATTTCAATTTTTGTATACATGTACTTTAAATATTCAAATTGATGTATGCAAAGTTTCACTCAGAGATGAAAGTTTAAAAATCATAAATAGTATAAATTAAAGCAGATAAACTACAAAATTGTTTATTAATGTT